GTGTCCAGATCCTGCCCGGAACGGAATCGCACCAGCAAGGTAGGTACTGGGGGGAATAAAGGGAGCGTGAGCCGGTAATCAAGAGTCATCATGGGTTGGTTTTAAAATAAAAGTCATCCAGAGATATGGAGTGGCAGGGTCTACCTATAACAGCTTGGGAACCATTTCTGACATCTGCTTTAACAGCAAGGAATCACACCCCACTGGGGTTATTCCAGCGTTTTATCAGAAAAGCAAGAGCAATGCAGCATGGGGACTCAAACACAACCATTTCATGATATTCGGCTCCTGTGTAGGTCTACCAGCAAGGACATCAGTTCTGGGTGCAGGTGGAGCTCTGTGATGCAGGTGTCATGGGTTCGAGCCAGGATCTTCCCAATAGCCGACAGCGACCAGGATTCCACGGACAATGGTGTGCAAATGGCAGGGCTGGGATTACTCCCGGCTTTCCAGTGACTCCTGGCACCTACAGGCTTGCAGTTACGTTGCACTGCTTGCAGTTTGTCAAATGAAGAATGGCTCTGCAGCTGGGGGAATGCTGGGGGGGCTGAACTAGCACTTCATTCTTCGCCGGTCTGGTCCAGGAGTCACTGCTGGACAGCCAAGTCTTACAGCAATGACCGATTTCAAATGAGGTGGGTGAACAATCATTAAAATTTGTGATTTGACTGCACATTAATTAATACTCCTTCATCTCCATGGATTCAGAAAGGGTGTCGACAGTGACATCACAGAGAATTCCACTCAACTAATACAGATATTTTTAGCCAGCGCAATGTTTGCTTAAGATATAGGCCCTAATTTTTTTTTTAAACTTAAGGTCAAGGCACGGTCACACTTAGAAAATATTAAGGCAGCAGTATGGAAAAATGGTTAACACTCTGGTCTCCTGACCAAGGGGGACACAGGATCAAACCACTAATGGGGGCTCCATGCTGTACCCCAAGGTAAGGTACTTTACTACAAATACTTCAGCAAACCGAGCTGCGTTCACGGGCATAAATAATTGACTAAAAACAGGGAAAAACAATCGGAAAAAAAAACAGGTCACTGTAACGCTGCTAAGTGACTCTGAATAACACATCAGCCAAATAAAGCAAAAACAAAATCTGCACCTCAGCTCACAAAGAGTCCTTGCCTTTATTCTGGAGATAGCAGGAAATCCTCTTGCTGTCAGTCATGACTTTCAAAAAGTCTTCAAATCCAACCTCTCCATCCCCTAAAACAGGAAAGAAACCCATCCAACTGCATCAGTGCAGGACAGGGAAGAACTTCCTTCAGAGTAAAAATCGCTTCATGTGGATTTCTCTTTTTTACTTATTTAGGATGACCAATTATTTTATTGCATGCCCTCCCCTTTAGGGATGGCCAGCTGTTATTGATCTGTTTTGAGACTTGGCTCCTCTAACCCCTCTTGGAGAGAACAGGGAAAGGCAGATGAACATTCCCACCCCTGAGAGCTGCTCATCCGTCTCCACCTTGCAGGACAGGTGGGCTAGCGCCACATGGAGTAACAGAGTGGCACTGCAACCCCACGGGTATCCTGGGTAGCCTCGGGGGGTTACCTTTTCACCAAGAGCTGAGGAAGAGTCTTGGTTAGCTAATCCCTACTCTGTCAGAACACTCTGCCAAACCTGGAGAGAATTATACACCCGAGGTGCTGAAATAACCATTGGGATGCCTCATCTCAGCTTGGTCTGGCTCCTACAGGACATTCCTGTATTTGTCTCTTGCACACCGACAATATCAACCTAACAGATTTCTTAAGAATGAGCAGCGAAGCCTACACCAGAGGACTCAAGTGCTCGGAAGTGCGTTTAAAAAATTGAGAACAGGGAGGCGAGAGTCCGAAACAAACTTCCCAGGCAAATGGTCACATTCTTATCATTCCTCATTATAAAAGCCGTCGGATCGGGTGGTCAGGTGAGCTTCGGGGATTTTAAGCTATCTGGCTAGCCAGATCGAGAGTGGGATGAGGAGCACTCCTTTGCAGAAGAACACTCTTCACGACCCAACACAAACGTTTAATTGAGGTCTATTCTTCATGCGTCTTAAAAAATAAGGTGAAGGAGGAAGTAGCAACAGTTCAAAGAGCAGAAACTCAAGAAGGAGAAGTCAGAAAAGCAGAAGCTGAAAGGAACGAGGAAGTCTGCTCATGCCCGATTGTTTGAATTGCTCCTCAGTTCCACTTCTGCCAGGCAGGAGGAGGCTCTCACCATCAGAGTCTGCCCTCTGCAAGGACAGGCGCAGCTGGGCAGTGCCCAGGCGGATGCCCACCGCCCTCAGTGTGGTCTTCAGGCCAGGGCTGGCGATGCTCCTGCCACGATGCCCGCAGGCCAGCTCGAAGACTTCGCGGAAAGCTGCCAGACACACAGAGAGGGAAGTACATTCCAGCACCATCCTCACAGACGTCGCTCAGTCTCCTCGCTGCCCTGCTGTCGCTCACTCGGGTTTTTCGGGGTTCATTCCTGATCTACGGCAATCTGTCACTTAGCCCTTCTGGATCCAGCAGTCGAGTGAAAACGGAGACCTAGTCAGTGATCTAGGCCAGCGGTGGTCCTCTCTGCTGGCAGGATGTGTTAAAACTGCCACCGGACATAGTGAACGGGGGCAGAGAGGATAGACACTACACAGTATAGCGCAAAACTGGTGGCTGGTTTTAAAATTATAAACCCGCAACAGAAAAAACAGAAGTAGTGAAAAGGGAAGTTAAACCAGACGCTTTACCTTTAGAAATGCTTGAATTGGTCACCACAGGTCCTGATATAAAACCAATTCAAGCTATTATGGAAATAACTGGATTCAGGAAAAACAATGGCAGCACAAATCCCAAACCACTGTCTATTACCAATCAACTTCAGGGGCTTGTTCAGAGTTTCTATGAATATTTAGGATGCTATGATAACACAATTCAATCCCAATGTACAATTAAAGTAGTGCTTAGTGGAATTTTACTGATCAAGTTAAAATATTTGTGCAGTCCCATATTAGATTGAAAAAACGGCAGTATTTCACCTTTGACCTGTTCGTCGGTCAGCTGTGTCCAAGCTCCACCCCCTGTCCTTCCCCCTGTTTCCTCTTGCAGTACCATGGCGGCTCTCCCGGCTCTGTGATTCTGTGCTGCCCCCTTCTGGCCACTTAGAGCTGCCGCTGTTCCAGGAACATTCAGGTGGACCGCGCTGTCCAAGACTGTGGACTCTGCTGCTGCGTCTGTGTCCCAGGGCAGGGACAGGAGCTCTGCAAAGCTCCAGGATTCATCAGGCACATTCAGTGTTGATGGTAAATCCTGGTTATTACAAGGAAAACGACAACAAAACATCCATTCTAAAAACATTAGCAAAAAGGCAGTCCGGACAGTTCTTGTCCATAGTGACACATCGCTCCAGATCACAATGTATCCAACTATTGGTGCATCTCAAATATTTCATTAAAACTTTCAGCATACATTTTGTGCAAAACAGTCTGAAAGTGATATTCTTGAATCTAAAATCTTCATGTACAGGAAAACTAAGTTTGATTTTACAAATTCACACGTCCTCAGCTTATTTTTATTTAATATAGGGGAAAAAAGAACTTTAAAAAGCTTCTCTCAAGCCTCTCTCATTCACTCTAAATTCAGATGATCATCTACCTCTACCGCAGAATCTGCCTCCGTAACGTGATGATGATCTTCTTTCCGTGGCAGTGTGAAGATCTCACTCATTTGGTCTTCCCCCGACTTGCTCTCCTCATCTGGTTTTTCAGCCCGTGTCTGCGTGACGTCCTCCATCCCTGTTTTCTCCGTGTTGCCATCGCAACCTGCTTCCTCTGTGACATCCATGCCCCCCCCCCTCTCTCCAACACTGGGGTAGTCATCTCTCCTTGCAACATTGTCCTCAGCACCCTCCCTCTCAGCAATACCATCGGAATCCCTTCCCTCCTGGACATTGTCCAGCCCCATGGGAATACTGCAAGAGCCCTCTTCCTTTCTTGCTTCCCTGGAACAGCTCCCGTCCCGGTCAGGGTCAGATCCCTGCACTAGCACGACCACACCTTTTTCACCGGCAACGTCATCGGGACACTCGCTTTCCGGATAACGCCTCCCGACTCCTGGCTTGCACTCCATCCCTTCGGAGAGCATGTTTTCCAGGGCACTGCCAGTGGGCTCTCCCTCCGCCTGTAACTCCGTTGTCGCACCGCGTTTGGACGATGAGGGACCTAACCGCAGGTCTTGGCCTTCCATGCCGACCACCAGATCCGGGTGCTGCTCCACCGACGGCGCCCTTTGTGATTTTCCGCACCCCGATAGTTTGCAGTCCGGCTCTCTCGCCAAGACGGAGAGAAAGGGGAGAGGAGGCACCACATAGATGCGTCCACCTGGCTCTCTGCAAGACAAACGATATACCGAGGTCGGTTTCAGAGGACAGTCCCATCCCCCGAGGCATCGGCAAGGGCTCCGGATCACGGATAAATGAGCTGAGGATTCAAGGAGACCTACTATACCTGCCGGACGTTTGATCCCGAGAGAAGCAGAAAACAGAATGTTGTGCTCTACAGCAATCTGCCTCCTCTCGTACTGACACTCCTGTCACTTTAACGGCCTTGAACACGGTCCTTTGAAGGATTCTGAGGCTTTCGAAGCCGACACTAAGCTTATGGCTAGATCATGTCGGGACTGCAGATGGAGAAGTTTGAGCTCCACTCCTCCATGCAGCCTGCTCAGTGGTGCCAGGGCTGAGTCTGTGGACTGTAGGTCCCCCTGACTTAACCCTTTCTAAGAAAGAACAGTTCACCAACGGTAGCACTCAGCACACGTTTCCTCCTGGCTCCTGTATTGGAGTATTTCCCTCTTTTCATGCTCTGCCTTAAAAGGATATAAAACATCCCCAGCCGGGCTGGGTCCAACTGAGAGCGATACACCTCAGACTCATTTAGGAATGCCAGTCCTACCTCTTTACCAACGGCGCCTCTCTGGGTTTGTAGCACAGCGATGCAAGAGACTCCCACAGACCTGGGGAAAATGACGAAGACAGTGAAGACTCAGTCAAGGAGGCCGAAGCTGGTCTTTATGGGGTGGCATTGCAGGTTGAGAGTGGACACACAGGAACAATATATCAACAGTGCATTTGAAGAGCAACTGTTCAAACCAAGATGATATTGCGAAAATGCTGCAAAAATATACTCATGGGCATCAAACACACTCAAATATGCTCATGAACCACTTTAGCTGAGTGTGAAACTCTCTTCTATGCTCCCATGAAACACACCTACAGCACCACAATGCACAGCGCTTCCGGCAGAGCCCCACGGTGTGACCACGTGGCCAGGAGGCTCGGCCTCTCGCGCAACAGCCCTGGGATAACTGCGGTCAGACAGGAGGAAAAGCACGGAGACGCGGCGACAAAGGTACTGAAATATCATTCTGGTTGTTACGGTGTGAGCTGTAGCTGTACTTCTAGCACGAAAAAATAAAACAGAGTCATAGGTGCCATTATCAGCTTAGAACAACGTCGTGAAGTCCCCCACGGCACCCTTTTTCGGTTCGGTGAGTGTTTTACACCGTTTGTAAACCTCTGTTCAACGCGTAAAACGTGTTTTTTTGTTGTTGTTCTGTTTGAGGGACGGCTAATGATTCGGCAGTTCCACAAGTGTGGAACAGATTTTCCTGAAAATAAAAATATCATGCACAGAAATATATAATAGTATATATTTAAAACCCAGGAAAGATGGCAGCGACGATCGGTTAAGGACACTAATGGTAGACAAACCTCCGGCTGTCTTGTTGGCCATAGTCATCGTTGTGGTTTGCAGAGACCTACAGAAGAAAATACATACATGTATCTACTCGAAAACGGGCAATGGGGGAACCGCCGCCTGCTTTCCTACTTTCGCGTAGCTTTCCCCGGGTTGTTAACTACATGGTGCCCGCCGGCCCCGGAGAGCAGGTGTCCCATGAGCACTGGCCGGAGTCCGGCCGCCGCTCTTGCCGTTGGCTTTGAAGTCTGCGGGGCGCGGTGACGTCACCGCCGGCGATTGTGAGCGATGCTGGGGGGCGAGAGAGAGAGACGCGACGTTTCGCAAACCCAGTGAATTCAAAAGCGTGGA